GTGACAGTGACAGGAATGCAAGACAATGGGGACAAAACGTAGCAAATATAGGAGATTTTGCAGCTGAACGCTCAGATTTTTATTTACAGAGTGCCATCCCACAGCCTGCACGCAACACGAGATTACTGATTGAAGCAGGCTCCGGGCTTCATGTTCTCCCCTCGCCAAGGGACCTGCAGGCCGTCACTGATGGCTCGGACAGACCGAGACCCAAATTTTCCCATATAAAACCAACTTCTCCTGCCCATGAGTAATTTAGTGGGTGTTTCTGCAACACCTCCCACACATTAACGATGCTTTTTAAGCGCACACAATTTTCCACTGCACTGGCCTCAAATACACCTGTCTGAAGGGTAAAAAAGAAATAAATGAAATCATTCCGTATCGCTGCAGGGATCCCCAGTTTGCACACAAACCAGTTACACCCGCCTGCCGCAGAGCGCTGCCTGCCACGTCGCGCTGCTCGCGCACCGCGTTCCGCTGCGCCGCGCTGGAGGCGGCACGCTTCCGCCAGCGCTGTCTCCGACCCGACGGCAGCGGTGAGACCTTCAAACTGGTATGAACACCAGTGACTGCTCCGAACAATCCAGGTGGAGTGTTTTGAGCTTAACAGCTGTATAACTGGGAGCTATCTCCATGTCTGCCCATCATCCCAAGCTCTTCTCCACCGTGATCCATCCCCACAAACCCCATCCCGGCACTCTCAAAGGTATTTGTCTTTGGTTAACACCTCAACTTGTGAAACAGTTCCACTTCTGGGAGGTTCTAGAAAAAGCAGCAAGAGGGTAAGAAGGGATGAAGAGCTGCTTAAAGCAATACAGTTCTCACAACAAAGCCACTCTTGCCCAGGCAGTGTGCCATAGAGAAAACGTGGTGGGAAGGGGGTGCCAGGAGTCATTCTCTTCTGCCACCTGCAGGAAACATCTTGGATGGAGATGTCGGAATAGGTTGGAGCAGGTGGCATGTCATATTCAACAGTTTTTTCTGGTTTTCCAACCTGCAGGCCGAGTGTGATACACCTAAATTGCGCACACACACACACACACACACACACACATCTTTGGGGCTTCATCAGCACTGCAAGGTCCAGAAAACTCCAGAAAGGGCTGGATCAGAGGTCTTCTCAGCCAACTCCTTTAAGACTACCTGTGGTGATGCTGTCCAGGCTGGGGATGTATTCAATCCAGCCACGCTTAGGTACAAACTGAGCATCCTCTGGCTATCAGCAGCCCAGGAACAGCTTTGTTATCTTCATGCCATACATCAGCTCTCTACATACGCACCCCTCCGTTGGACTAGCACCACAGACACAGATGTCTCCCAGATCATCACAAGTAGTTGTGCTTTTTATTGAATCCATTGAATGTGCAATTAAACCAGATATTTATTCATCACTAGTTCTGGACAAAGACACAATAAGGTTTACATCATTTACTCGGAAATATAAGTTAACATGTGCTGCTGTCAGTGGGACAAGCAGAGGAAAGAAAGGAACAAACAAACTCACAAGATCGTACACAAAATGAGAGGGAATAATAACCACTGGGACTTGCAATGTCATCACAATAAAACAGCACTGCCAAAGGAACAGAAACCAGGGTGGAGTGACTAAAACACTCCGACTGCTGTAAGTATACGCACTAAGGACTACAGTACCTTCACCTTCGGGCCTGAAAGACTGCGAAGCACCCTCCTTCCCTGGGAACACCGCTTTGGGCACAAGCTGCTAGCCCTTAGCAGCTTGTCTGGTCAAGTTTAGGAAGCTACACTGACTAAGATCTCATAAATGGCTTTGATTTCATGCCCCACCAAATTGAGGTATGTTCCATGAACCTTATTAAACGTGTGGAGCCAAAGAACCAGAGGGGAGTAGCCTCATGCAGTCATCATCAACAGCTTCTCACTGACACGAGATGACTATTGGGGAAGGATCACATAAAGTTTGATACATTCCTTTATTTCAGTGCAAAAACATGGCAATATACCTCGCGTGCATCTGCAGAGCTTGGCTTCCTCTCTGTCTCCAAGGAGGAACTTCAACCTTTGGTAACATGGCAGAAAAATGGGATATAACGAGGCTGGCCAACCCCAAAGCTGCCATCTACGTTACACTCATGAAGAGCTTTCAGGCTGGAATTAGCATCTCTAAAACTGTTGTTGAATTAACAACAAGCTTTGATGCCTTAAATACTGGATTTGGAAGTTTCCTCTACCCTGATCAACATACTTCCCTGCCTTCTTCCAGTCCCGAATGCCACTTAGCCAGTGTCTCTCACTGGGCCACAAAATACCTGGGTATAAAAGAAAGCAGGTATTGGCATCTCGGCAGCTCTGGAGCTGAACTATTGCGGGCGCTCTTTAGGTTATCAGCCTGGCTCAGTGTTCAGTGAGGCACAGGATGACATAACAAGAAAGCATTCGTCAGATCAGGAGAACACAGAGTAGAACTTTGATATACCTTCACCACAGACTGCCAGGTTTTATCAGAAATGAGGATTTCTTGCCTATCATAGCTGGACACAAGCGAGCGTGAGCTTCAAAACTTACAGGACATTTCCCCCCATGCTAAAAATCAAATGAGAACGCAGCCTCGCCTGCACAGAGACAGAAGCACAGTGTTCTAGAAGACACTTCCACATGACATCAGTATATTAAAGATGAAGAATAAAGATACTGTATTGCACTAAACATGCAGATTCCACATTGGGTTCTCGGAAACAGGGGAGCATGTCACTTTGTCCAGTGTGTTGAACACAGAAGAGTAAAGATCCCAGTGTATATCCTCCAGGTTGGTCACTTTTCCAGCTGTTGATCTTGCGCTTGGTCCACCTTCAGTCTAGGGAAGGAACTCTTGCAAAAGAAGCCAAATCCATCAAGAAAGCATGCACATGTATAAAAGCATCAAGCACACACTGGAACCCACTCACATGTAGCCAGGACAGATACTGCTGTGAGTTTCCCCAGCACAGGTACTGCCCTACACGTATTAGAAAGTCATTCTCTAGGAGATGGCACTGTCAAGACTGGGCCC